GTGCATGTTTTTTTTTTTTTTTTTTTTTAGAAAAGGAAATTTTTCTCCGTTTTTTGATCAGAAATTTGTTTTTTTTGGGGGGGGGGGTGAAACTATGCCATGTCAATGTGTGGTCAGCGTGGCTGCCAAGCCCCGGGCCTCTCTGGATTGCAGGGGAGCGTTTAAGGGGGTTGCTGAGGGTAAAGGAGGAAGATGAGTGCAAACAGGAAGGATGGCACCCGTTAAATGACTGGTTAGAGGCCTGGACATGTCTGATGAGATCCACTTTAAGAGCTTTTTAAAAAGAGGGTGTGTGCATTCCTTCAACAGTATTTTATTTGACTATATGAAGAACGGAGCGGAAACAACAAAGCAATTTAAAAAAATAAATAAAAAGAGCGTGTTGCTTTTCCATTTCCATTATTTAAAGTAACAAGACCAGTCGACGTTAGAGAAGGCAGCTAAGTGTATATTCCATCCAAACCCAGCTGATTTTCCCTATATTGCTCTCAGACACATGGCAGTAATTTAGAGCCCTATTTTCTACTTCCTAAAGCTAACATTCAGAATCCAACCACTTCCAGGGCACTCCCAAGGTTAAGCCCTTGTGCCAAGTGACACAAAAAATGTCACCCAAAAAAAAAAGGTGCTTGGGGGTTTCTTATGTTACTGATGAGGCTGCACGCTGATCTGAGTAAATACCACCAACACTTTACATTAGTGCCGTGAAATGGAAAAATAAATCATCTGAGATTAAAGTCAAGCCCTGCCACCTCAAACGGAATTTTGCAAAAATCACTGCAGATTTACTCCAAGATGAAGACCGAGTCGATGATCATTTGGCCTTTTGTCTGTCGTGTAGTTTTGTTTTTAATTAAGTGTCATAAATTTGGACATAATTCCTGGAAATGCACTAATTTGGCCTACCCGTCTCGCTCTCTCTCCGAATGAGGAAAGTGACTAGTTAACTCTTGAAAATAACTTTGCTGATTTTCCCCCTTCCAGTTTAATTAAGAGCATGTTGGGTTATTGTGGCAGTTGTTTTCTCGCCAGTGCTTCCCTAAAGCACCCACTCGCTCACTGCTTTGTGGTCTCGTCTTCTGTTTTATTTAATTGTGCATGGATGTCTGATGCTAGTTTTTCCATTTAAGCTTTTGGCCTTCCTCTGTTTTTTTTTTCTTATTATTTCCCTTGACTGTGCCCTCTCTTTTTTTTCCCCACAATGTAGTCTTGTTTTGTCTCTTGTTCTGGATAACCTGCAAATCTAATCCGACTGGCACCCTCTTGTTTTTCCCCGCCTCTTTCTCTCAGCAGGCCATGCCTCCATCCAACTACGACATGCCAGTGTCCATCCCCGTCAGCAACCAGAACAATCTCATCTACAGCCACCCCGGTGGCTCCCTTGGAAACCACAACCTGCTACCGCTATCACACCATGGACTACCGAGAAACAGCATGTCCCCCGGAGTTACACACAGACCCCCCAGTGCAGGTAACACAGGTAGGGGGCCTCCATGGCTGTGAACCCTGTTGTCCCATCTGTTTATCTCTGGCACACCTAAGACAACCAAAACCGCGTCACTTTAGAGCCATTCCACAGTACATTCAAATGAATAGCAAAAAAACAAGTTATAACAGAATAAACAAAAGGTTCTTTTTTTTCATTTAAATATGATACATTTAAAAAATATCCTGCAGCACCTCATTTGTGTCTTAGCCCAAACTTTAGTCCTTATATTGGCCCCCTGCTGTTCCACCGGCGGCCTAATATCCTGCAGCACCTCATTTGTGTCTTAGCCCAAACTTTAGTCCTTATATTGGCCCCCTGCTGTTCCACCGGCGGCCTAATATCCTGCAGCACCTCATTTGTGTCTTAGCCCAAACTTTAGTCCTTATATTGGCCCCCTGCTGTTCCACCGGCGGCCTGTTGGTGGTTTCAAGGTATTTGCAATTCTTAGTCAGACCCTCCAAAGGAGGGAGCGAAGAAGTGCACCTTTCACATTGGCATGTGGTGTACAGGAGGTCCAGAGTTTTGTTCCCTCTCTTTTCACCGTTTCACAGTCTTCACATGTTATATGAAGTTGGTCGATGAGAAAGAAACATGACTGAAGTCGACACTGACCAGTATGAAGGCGCTGCAAAATTATATTTTCGTAATCACAGTGTGCATTATATCACTCACATGGGTTGAATCTAAACAAGCAACTGCAGTTTTCTAAATAGATGTTAGTTGGTCTGTTGACAAGTAAGATCACATTCCACAATAACAATCAGTGGAAGGAACGGTTCAAATCTCCTGTCCTATTTAGCGCTCTTTCTCGCTTCGCTTCTCTCGAGTCCCTCTTCATATCACCTCTAAGTTTTTTCCTCCTTTAAGCATCGCAACCGAGAGGGGAAAAAAAGCCTGATGGCATCGTTACTCATGCTTAATCAAACGACATATAAATAGAAAACGAATAATGCTTTTACATAGGTACGCCAGTTCCAAAACATCAAATGGGATATGCTCTAACCCCTGCCGTGATCCTCAACAGAAATTAGAGGTGTTGAAAATGGAAGGAAATTGAAATTGATCATCTCAATCATGGATGATTCATTGTCATTGTTAGTCTGGTTTCATTGTGTAGCTGATTTGAATTGTGTGGGCGAGTTGTCTGGCCCCGTGAACAGTATCGTCTTTCAGTGTGCTGGTGACATCAGGAAATCAAGCCTGTTGCTTTGTTATTGTTGTCCTGAGTCCTTTTTCTGTCCCACTGGTCTGAAGCCTTCAGCCCACACCCTCACCCTGTCATTACAACTGGATGCGAGAAACGCCAGCACAAAACTAAATATGAGCTTTGGAGCTCGCAGCATCCACACCAAACCGCACAAGTTCTGAACCCTCCCACCCTTCCACCTCACATGGCTTAAAAATAATAATGTGTCATTTTTCTTGGAAGACAGCGTCTAGTTGCTGGGTGTGTTTGTGAGGGTCTTTTTTTTTTTTTTTGTGAGGGGGGGTACTTTGCATTTTGATGCACCAATGTGAATGTGCCTGTGAATGTCGTGCAGCGTAAGCAGAGTAGATGTAAAGCATGTTCTCGTTCAAGCATTTACCCATTCATTTTTTTTTTTTTCCATTTTAGGTGGCCTCATGGGTGCTGACCTCACCACTGGCGCAGGCACCAGTGCTGGTAAGAATGTCCTCTAACTCTCACATCATTGTCTAGCAACTCGTACAAGGTATCCACTCACCCACTCGCTCCTGTAAAACGCATGACTAATATCAAACCAAACCCAAGTGGAGATTTTGTCCATGGTGTGTTGATGTTAGTGCTGGTGGAGTTCATCTGGGAATGTTTACCCAGTGCTGGGGCTGTGACATATCCTGCCCCTGTTGAGTTTAGCAATAAAATCATACAAGGCTTGGGAAATGAAACGTACTTCCTGATGAGGTGAAGAGAGGCGTTATATCAGCCTTTGGGCTACTTTCATTTGTTGTAACCTGTCTAGTGGAGAGACTTTTTTGGAATCATGTTCAAATTGTGTTTTTATAAGCAATACTGTTCCTATAACCGTGTGTCCGAAGGTAACTTTTTCTATTCTTTTGAGTCAGTTTCATTCAAAAGACAATTATCATCTTAACACACATTCAACTTTTGTGATCCAAAGCCTTGCCCAATTTTGAGAAATTGGATTTTATTTGTTAAATGGGTCAGGCACATCTACTCAACTATACGTTTGCAATGGTTACCAAGCTAAAAAAGGAGACATATGTTTGATTCATAAAATGTATTTTTTATTATTATTATTCTTATAAGCCACTGCAGAATTATGGACATTTTGAACATTCATACTGAGCTTTAATTTATCTAAAAAAAAAAATTTTGATTAAAACGTGTTGCACGTAAAATCGTTCAAATTGCACTAAAATAACTGGATCAAAACAAACAGTTCTTAAAGATTAAATACATATGTAATTAACTTAAAAGTTAAGTACAACTGAACTGTGTTCAAGCAGTGATTATTTCATGTACCACTAGATGGCAGTAGTGTACCCCTATTGGTACCGCACTTTGAGAATCAAAATCTGATTTAGAACATTATCTATACTTGCGTGATTGTTGTGAATAATTTTGTAAATATTACTGAGGGTAAAACAAAAACAGAAAGTCTTTTGAATACAATATCACTTCAGCTAAATAAAAAAAAAAACATGTTTCGGATGCTCGGGGGAGACATTGTGATTGTCTACAGCCAATGCATTCTAAGTTCCCTGTGTCTCCTTACAACCAGCTTTTGTTTTTTTTTTTTTTTACTTCCCCACACATTAACAGCTACCATATGTCTTGTAACAAAATTAATGCAGTGTTTTAGTGTCTAACCATACCCGAAAAACGTCTATAGAGCCTACAGAGATTTGAGCAAACCAAATAACTTATGTAAGCAAATGTAGTGTTTTAGCTTCTGTGTGCCAATAGGTTCGTCCCTCAGGGCATGTCAGGACAAAGTTTATGGCAAAGAGACCCCCATTTAAAGGGTGAAATGTTATAGCCCCAACATATTTTACAGTGTAAAAACGGAGGGGAG